TGTTGCTTGTTTTAAGCAAAAACTCACTTAATTCTGAAATTAAGAAATAATTTCTTATGGCATTTTCGTCATCTAGTAAATGCATCTTGATTTAAGTATTTTTAGATATTTGAACTGCAAACAAGACAAAAATACTAAGTAAGAGAATTATTGTTTTGCAGTGTTAAATTTGCACTTTTGCATCACACATGCATATTCAGCTCATGCCAATACAGTCACTTATATGAGCTTTCATGGTGCTGTTTCATCCCAGATGTAAGTGAACATTAGAGACTTCATGCGGTAAATGCTATTTTATTAGCAATAGCGGTCCAAAACCTCAAAAATAAACAAACCAAGTCTTTCATGCGGCTTCAGCATTGGCAGAAGAGATATGAGAATCGGCACACCCTCTCATTTAGAGGCAAGACTAAAATTATCATGACTTATTAAGAGGTTGAAATCAGAAAACTGGAAAAGTTTCCAATTAGGTGGCTGTTTAATGGTAATGCCAACTGTTCCAAAACACAGTACCACACTTCCAATTAATAAACACAAAATGCTATATTAATACAAGCTTCATAGTAATCAAATGAATGCTTTTTTTTTCCGTTTGAGTGGTTACTTGTGAAATGAAAGAAAAGATGCATTAACCGAATCCAAATGCACTCAGACAAACGAAATGTGTGCTTTTGTTCGGTGCTAATTATTCCTCAGGAATGTATGAAAGATAACTCAGGACAGCAAGGAGCAAATTTGTTAAATGGACTCTCCATTGTTCCCGCAAAAGCGCCACCATTTTAGATATGGCAGCCGTAGACGCTGTGAAATTACTCAATCTCATTGTTACAGAGCCTTATTACCCCCCAGAGAACAGAGTCCAGTCAAATACAATTTTATAGAAAGGCTGCTTCTCTCTCCATCCGCAAAAGTGCCAGGGATTACTAATAGCAATTGGTCATAAACTGATGAGGTGCTTTTGTTTAAGAAACATATCATTACTAAGTGTGGAAGTGCTCTCCCAAATCTTATCAGAAAATGGACACATTTTATCTTGTGTACTTAAAAGCGTGGTGGGTTCCTGCGAAGAACACACTCACAAGAGAGTCAATATGTCTCTGACACAATCACAATGGAAGTTGATTTGTTTATAACATCTGAGTTTCCTTCAGTGGCGCCTGATTAGCATATGCTGAGCAATGCATTCACACTTCCTTTCTGGAGAAACAACAATAGGTCAGTGAACTGGACAAATGTGGCCGCAAGTGATCTCTGTAATGGGTGACCAGAGGTCAACACATCTGACAAACATCCAACAACAACCAAATTTGTTTAGGTCTCAAAAACGAGATAAGCACTTTTCTGTTGCAAGCAGCACAATAGCTTAGATTTACATGATTAAAACCTTTTGTGTATGCTAAGTGTAAAAGTTGATCCTTCTTGCCTCATTGTTTCATCGGGGAATTATTAGCTTTATGTGGGTTGTGCCTCGGCACGGCACAGCGCGGATGAACACAATGTTTTGAGGAGAATGTGCAGCGCCGGTACTGGCCGAGACTCTTCTTTATGTGTACAGATGTGTGTGTACAGATGTGTGTGTACATATGTGTGTGTACGGGTGTGACGTAATGACACAAAGACATGCTCGAATCTCCCGCGGAAATACACCAGTACCACTGGAGTTAAAAACATTATTACAAGCTTACCGTTTTGAATCGAGCTACGGCAAGCGGAGAGTTTTGAACACTGGCTGTTTACGTTACTTTATTTTGGATCATTTTTAACCCAAAAAAGTTACGGACTGCATCTTTAATGAATAATTCTTTCACATAATATTTTAAACAAAAGTAAGCAGAATACAGCAAAAGCCCATTTCAAAAACATACAAAAAAAATGCTTTGGCAGCCTAAATCATAATTATGACATAAAATATCATTATTGACATAAAAAGTTTTTTTTGTCATATTTCTCTCTATCAAAATAATTTTGATTAGTCATAATTAATTAATTTTTATATCATAATTATGATTTACCATATTATACTAATTATGACTTAGGATGTCACCATTTTTCACCACTTTTCTCTCATAATTTGGACTTTGTATCTCAGAATTTGGATTTTTGTCATAATTTCGATTTATTATTATATTGTAATTATAATATACCAAAAGAATAGTATACGCTATCATGCCGAATCTGTATTACTGTAATGCAATAAGTGTAAATGTGAATTTTTATATTTTCCCTTTTTATTGTAATTTAAATTAAAGTTTTAGAAATGTTTAGTGTATTTTTGTCATTTTTATTATTTTCATTTATTATGTCTAAAAAATAATAATATTTTTTTCAGTTTTAGTTTGCTATTTTAGTAGGCTACATCAAATTAAACAATGAAAATTATAAATGTTTCCTTGGCAACGAAATTAAATTATTTTATTTTAGTTATTTATTTACTATTTCAACTTATTTCTATTGTATTTCATCTTCAATTTATTTTATTTTATTTTATTTTTTTACATTTTTTTAATTTTTACATTTAGTTTTTTTTTTAGTTATTTTATTTCATGTTTTTGTTTTAGTTGTATCCCTGCTTTGCATGCAGAATGTATCACTGTAATGCAATGTGTTAAATGTGATTTTTTTTATATATTCCATCTTTATTGTAATTTTTAGTTAGTATTGCTTCCCGACCATAGCGTTGCAGTGTTGCAGGGTCTCGACTTATGAATATGAATTAGATTACGTGACTGGACGCTCCAGAGCGGTTACCAAGCAACGTCAGCGTGGCCTAGTTAATATTCATGAGCTCAGCCCTTCCCACAGTAGTGCAGACTCGCTGCTGGTGTTGTGGACACAGAGAGAGCGCACAGTTGAGCGGCTTGAGCTTCTGTGTCCAGCAGTGCGGGGTCCCTCGGAGAGGCATTAGAGTCTGTGTGTTATGCAGCGGTCGGGGGCCTTCAGGAAGACTCGGACATCTCAAATCTAAACACTAACCCCGAAGTGCGAAGAATTCGCGCAACAAAGCGACACATTGCATGAGGGTTTTTCCCAGCATTTAAAAACTTCTCATTGAGATTATAGGCTTACCTGCATGTCAAATATAAAATCCGATTCAATGAATTAACATTGGATGAATTTTCATAGTATGCCATTTAATAGACTCCGTTTACCAAAGGGGAAAAGCTTGCTTCTGACCAATTTGCTTTCCTTTCCCTGATTTGATGCACGAGAACACTGATGAATAATAAGCTAAATCGTGTCATGTTAACTTAATCTAGAATGTTTTAGCTGGTTTGCTATTGATCCAATGTCTAAACAGCTTCAAAGTCCACAACAAGTCCATCTGATCATCATCTAGACTAGATCAGTGAATGATGAAAACATCGAAAACATGGAAATCCAACTATAATTAAGTGTAATTGGCTACAATGCAGTGAAACCCGTCTGTTTTCAGTGAGACAGGAAAAATCCAGGCTGTGATTGTTGTATGTATGTTTTATCATTCAGACAAACCCCTCAGAAATATGTAGCCTAAATTCACGTTTTCAACAACACAAATCTTTTGTATTGACCATCCAATGATCAATGAAAAACCCCATAAAGTCATTTGCAGGGCGGATCTTCCATCATGTGCTCGTTCAGAATGAGAATGACAACGAATCTTGTGACAAGTATTAATGACTGTTACATTTGATTGTCTCCTGATAACGGCAATCGGTCATAAAACATATTTGTCCCACTTTAACTGATGGCCCACTTCTGCTGAACCCACCATACAGGCTAAATGTAAATAGTATAATCCATGCACACAAATACATATTAATATAATTCTTGAGGCTTTATTGAGAACAAGTTGTGATATGCATGCAAATTATTGTGAAAATTATTTTACAAGAGAACGGTTTATTAATCAAATGTTTTGTTTCAGGATACTGGATAGCGTAGTACACTAGGCGGCTTCGTGGATCAGCACGCGGCGCGTTCTGGACGGACTCGCGCTCGGCGGGACTCCAGAAACTCTCAGATTCCTTCAGAATGAAGCACGCTTTCTGCCTTCTCTCCGGACCCGTCCCTCGGTTTCGACCATCGAGTCATTGGAAGATTTCAGCCTGACTCAATACGACAGGAGCCTGTGATTCCTCGCGTTGAGTTCGGCGGTGGCTGGTTGGTGTTGCGCACAGCCAGACGCAGAGACACATGAAGGATACAAGCGGAGTTGGGAAGGACTGACTCTTATTTTGGGGAGGGAGACGCGATCAGATCGGATTTGAGGGGATTGAAGATAACGGGCTGGGCGATCGCGGTCACCGGATCGCATAGCTACTGCACTGGATGTTAACGGGTTTGACAGCTTGTAGGCAAGTGCTGATGGTTTGTCTAAACAGAAAGGATTCGGTTGAAGTGACAAACATATTGTGTTTAGAATAAAGACACAGTCGCGCACGAAAGCGAAATTAATGCGCTCTTGTACGACCAACTTATTTATGCATAATGCTGCGTAAAGCGCAATGCTCCTGTTTGTAGCTATTAATGGATGAAACACGCGCTTTAAGGAGGCAACAGATTTCAGTGTGATAAACCTTTAAAGGAAATATGCACATTACCCCTATATGGACGCATTTACATATTTGTAATATTTCCATCCCTTAGAATTGTGCAATAGGCTATTGAACGAAGTTCTGGATTAAAATATAGAAAAAAAATAATCTTTAACTTTCGGCTGTTTGTGTACAAATATGCAAAAACGTGAAGTATGGAGAAGGCTATACTAAAATAATATAGACAAGATAGCAAATAAGAAACAATATTGTGCTGTTTTCATTTTGAGAGCTATTTAAGTGGCTAATGTTACTTATTTATTCTGGTCAGCGAGTTCATCGTCGCTCGGCATAAAGGACGCTTCCACCGCGCGCGAGAGCTGGCCAGAGTCTCACGGAGAGCTAGGGGTCTCTGGGCTCTTTTATACGAGAGGTTGGGCTCCATATAGGTCGGGCTTTGCATATGTGTAATCAAACCAATGAGAATCCCCTGCGCGTCTGGCACACGGCAGAGCAACAAACTCTAGGAAGAAGAGAAACGTAATTTAGGGGGTGTATCCCTTGTTTAAGACGCTGTTATGGCAAAGCCAATCGCCAGATGTTTGTGTTCCTCACTCAGATTTTGAGACTAAGCAGAACGCCGGGCTACTACGCGGAGGCTGATTCGCCTATCCAAGTCAGTTTTAGCCGAAGTATAGCTCTCTCGCCCGCTTTACGCACAGGATTACGGCCGTTTGCTCGTCTGTTTCGCGGAACTGCAACGTTTTTTCTGTCATTATTTAACAGGCTGAAGGAAATGGCAAAGGAGAGAAGAGCGCGTCTGGGCGAGCGCAGAGGAAACCAGAGCTGAATGGCAGGATGCAAGCGACCTGAAGACGCACAAAACCCCGCGTTTCTACAGCTCTCAGCCACTTTTACGCGTTCTTTTGGTTTCCTTCCATCCGAACGAGAGGAATTATCCCTACACGATCATTTAAGGATTTCCTTTTTTCTTAATTTTTCAAATTTGTGTATAAATTTCACACGCAGAACTCTAGGAATCGAGGATGCATTGTGGATTAGTGTTGATCCTCTTTACGGGAATCTTTCTCATCGTCAGTGCGATTAAAAATGGTGAGTTACAGGGGTGTTTTAAGTGACTTTTGGGGGGGATTACACGAGGAAAGCTATAGCTGAGGGGTTGCGACTTGAGTCCGGTCACCTGCTCTCACCTGCCGCTGTTTCTGGCACTGGATGGCCAGTCTAAACCAGGCATTTCATCCGCGCCGATATTCAGTTCTTGTTTTATTACAATAAACGCACTGTCTGATTGTGGTCAAATATTCTGCATGATATTTCGTAATAACTTCTATTAATAATATTAATGTCTAGAAAATCGTGACTATATTATTTTACATTCATATTGTTAATTTTTCATTGTAATCTATTAAAATGAAAAAAATAGGCTTATTTTATTATATTCCTTAAATGATGAACATAAAGTTAATGTGCGTTAAAATATTTCAAAATGTCATGAAACTCCTTTTCATATAGTACGTTTAAGATTTGAATACCGATCATTACCATTACATTATGTTTGTTAATAACTTATTGATTTTTTTTTTTAAGCGCTAAATAAAGTTTTCTGTTTATCTAATGACTTAAATGTTTTATGTTACTGGCCCTAATCTCGGCCAAATTAGGGAAACTACTTTATAACATTGTTTAAATTATTCCTGAAAATCTGGTTTGCCCTGATATTAAGAATTACTATTATACGTAATAAAACATGTGTCCCATTAGTCGTAGTTGTGAATACGTTTAGATAAATATAGCTATAGTATTATTTATAAATGTAGGTTGTTTGAGGTATTATTGACTTGGCCATTTTAGTTCTTTTACTGTAAGAAGTCCTGTATGTTTCACTGTCTGCGCGCTCATGCGCGTGCATTGCTAAATCACAGAAAGTCACATAATGTAATAAAGTCTAAACGGATTTAAGCGAAATTTCAAGGTCACTTACATGTATGAGATAAGTCATGCATATACTGTAATCCATAGATTAAAATAAAGATGAAATATTACAAATTCTGGACTTTTAAGAGTCATTATAGAGTGTTGCTCGACTCTTGGTGTATTTTAACAATATAAAAAAGCCGCCTTTCGATGCATTAAACTTTACTGGACCTTATTTAAAACACCACGTTCATCCAGAGATGATTCTTGAGTTTAGAAAGACACTCAAATATCTAGAGTTGTTTTTGTATAATTACTTTATATGTTGACAATTTTACATTAAAGCCCTGCCATATTCATGTTTATTTAACAAAAAGTTAGTGTTTATATGTAGTAAACATCTCGGTTAAGCCATGTGGTGCTCCATGAGTTTGCTTGTTGATGATGGATCTGATTAAAGTCAGTGTTGATCAGCTGTAGAGTTGAAAGAGCAAATAAATAAAATATGGAAGAGACAAAGGTCATGCTTCCCTCCCACATAATGACATTAAATGTAGGCGCAAATATCAAGCCTTTATTTAGTGCTTAGAAATAGGTCAGTCATGACTAGAGGAGATTTTCTCTGTTATTCTGAATATTTGGAGAGAAACGGCATAGTCATTCTTATGTCAAACTACAGTAGCGGTATGGTAATATATGTTTAAAAATAAACCATTAAGACAATGTCACATTGAACATGGATTGTTTTTACACCATGGAAAGCATTACAGAACCAAAAGCCACTGTTAACTGTGTTAAAACTCATGTTTATGTTCCTATTATAGGTATTCTCTATCTTTAGGTATGAATTAATGGTTGGTAAACCAACATAGAAGGTGAGGCTGGTCGATCAGCATGATCTTTCTGAAAAGTCTAGTGTGGACCTCCACAAGCTTCCAAAACACATCATAATGTATTGTATGCAGCATGAATGATATTTTCTTTCTTTTCTGTTCTTTCAGACAAATGTGGGGGCAATATCAACATCAGTGCTGCAAGTTACCTCACTTCACCCGGTTATCCGGTGTCTTACTACCCGTCTCAGAAATGCATATGGGTGATTACAGCTCCAGGACCGAACCAGAGGATTTTGATCAACTTCAACCCACACTTTGACCTGGAAGACAGAGAGTGCAAGTGAGTGTGCAGTGTTCAGTATTTGGTGTGACGGTGCGCCCCCTGCTGGTGCTGCCAGAGTATGTGCAAGACGCTCATCTGGTGTAGAGCAGAGGGCCACATGTGTGCTCGGCTTCTTTTAGTGCTGATTTCATTTAGATTTTCCCCCCAAAAAAAAATTTAAATGCATCACAAATTAAGTCAACACTTGTGTTGTCTTTTTACATACTGTCTTCACGCTGCTAAAAGGTTAAACCATAAGGTATTGAAAGCTATTTTTTAATCATGATTCATCTTCACATGTGGTTTGGTTGGTGTAGCTTATTTCCACCGTCTTCTCTCGCTCTTTCTTCTTTCCCATTCCGTCTGTTTCCTTTGTTTGTGCTGGCGGGTCTGAGGCACGTCATTGTACTGTCAGAGTGTGGCCGACTCTGTTACTGTATCCCCTCCACCCAGATAGTCTTCCGCCTGGAGTCCTTTGTGTTCACTGAATGCCTCATATTAATGGCACCGTTTATCAGGATCTTTACCTTTTTATGGCTCTGTAAACCTACAGAGATTTACAGCCCCAGATGACCCTGCACTGTCTGCTCATAGGGGGTCCGTCTCTTCTGAGAGTTCAGGTTTCGCTGCCCAGAAACGAGCAGACCCCCCCCCCCCCCCTCCAGTCACACACACACAAATGTCCAACCAGGGCATACTTAGAGTGAATGGAGTGTGGATACACACGGTGAGGACATAATGAGCCCTCCTAATGAAATTATCCAGAAATGGTTTGCCTGTGTTCGAACAAGCCAAGTTAAAGAATTGCAAGTTTAGCTCCCGAGGCAGTCAGTGGATATAAATGAGTTTAACATTAGCTCTTTAAAGTGCGCCAGGCTTTTTATATGGAATTGTTTGGGATTATGAAGTTAAAAGTCCTTCCGACTTGCACACAAACTGGATACTAGCTTCATTTTTCAACAGAGATTTATTCCAAAAGTCTTTGAAAACTATCAAAAAATAACTTGCTCCGCCTCTAAAACAAATCAATTTTTTGCCTGACATCAATACCACTTATTTTTAGCCCCTCCCATCCAATCGGCTGGATTGAGAATGTGATTTCGTGATTGCATTAAATTGTTTGGAAGTCATTTCAATTTGAGTGGCTTCATCGTTACTCAAAAAAACTCTCTTTGTACCGTTTGCCAAATGCCCATGCTTGGTTTTGCATTATGCCTTCGCATGTGGTCGCGGTTCATAAAATAGCAGAACGAGTTATGTAAAGTGCTAACTTGAAGACACACTCCTGCCTTTCTGCGGGAACTCTGCTCCAGGGCTTTCCCCCATCCTAAAGCGTGCTGCGGTTGTATTTCCCCTGCAAGGCAACATATGCCGTTCACTGGGGTTCAGTACCTCTCTATAATCTTTCCACTTCAATCTATCATTTTAAATTGCTGTGGAGAGCGGCGGCCATTCAAACTAATTTGAAGTTGTTTAGTAATTCTGGTTGTGATTGGCTGAAAGTTATGAGCGACACCCCCCCACCACCACCACCTCTATCTCTAATTCAATTCTGAGACCAGATAGACATCTGTTTGGCGGATCTGGTTTCTGTAGATTAGGGGGTGTTTTCTTGACTCCCAGATTCAGCTGGACACACATTAAGGGCCTCTTGCATAATGGAAACTGTTGATGGCCGAAATGGCTTCTTTATCAGATGGACTGCCGAGCGAGGGAAGCTACAACACACGCTTCAGTGCGCCGCTCGCAATCTAATTAGCAACAAATGGAACGCACATGCTCAGCATAACATGTCCGTTATCAACAAAGCAAACAAGAAATGCTTCATGTCCACTAGTGAAAAAAAACAGAGTCGACTGTGGGTGTTTCACGAGAATGATGATGTCAGGGATGTTTTGTTTGTGATTGGAGCAAATGACCTGGTTTTCCTGTAAAAAAAAAGGATGACAGGGTTGTTGAATATGTGTCACACTGGTATATTTAGTGTTATTAAAGCAGATGGACTTCACTGAGGTCATAGTGTGTCTCCGTGTGTGTGTGTACTGTGTTGTGTCAGAGGCCGCTCTCTGCAGATAACACACTCCTCTGACAGCACTATGAATCATTGATGCGCCCCAATCCGCTGACCAAACAAAAACTGGAAACATTTCCTCCCGATTGTTAGATTCCTGTCTTGAAACGGTGAAGGGTTGTGTTGGATGGGGGAATTGTTGAAACGTGGCAAGTGTAGCTTTGCTCTGGAAAGCTTTGCTGCTTAAAGCAATATTCTTTGTACTTAGTCAGAGAAGGCACAACAATGGCCAGTCGGTTTGGATTCGTGCATGTGTGTGTGCACTTGTGAATAGTCGAGATGGCATTCAGAGAATGCTTGCTCAAGAATGGTCCCAAAGGAGGTCACTAAAAGGCCTGACTTAAGCTTGAAAGCACAGCTTTATAGTGACCAACCTTCAGCGCCGCCCTGCTGGGTCAGCCCGCAAAGTGCCACATGTCCCGCAGAGAAAGCAAATACACTCTTGGCTTGCCAAACAAACCACACATCCTGTATCTGTGTTGCTCAGAGACTCGGACAAAGCTGATTAGTCATGGAGACACTAACAGTAGATGCCTTTGATTTAGTTATGAAGTTTTAGGTTTAAGATACACACTCAATGCCTCCGATGCCATTGAGTTGCTCAGATGCCCTGCTGTTCATGGGAATCAATGCTGTGGCTGAGAAGAGAAAGGGTGAAACAGTAGATCTCACTGGTGTTTAAATATCAACACAGCTCTTCCACTCATGGCAGGGTCTCAATCCATTGTTTGTGTGCTCCAGTGCAGGGGCCCCGTGGGTCTCCTCTCCCCCACTGAGAGGTGCCATAGCCAGGCTGGGAATGGTCGTAACTCTCCCTGCTTCTTCCAGATACCTAACGCTGGCCCTCTCCTTTCCTCCACAACGAATAAACACAGAGAGAGATGTATGGCATGAACATTCATCAGCGGTTGTCACGGAAGGGAAAACCAAAGAATGCAACGGGCCTCCTTTCATCCTCAATGACGAGGGTTTTTAAAGGCAGGGAATGCTTTGACCTCTGGGCAGTGGAGGAGGCTTGGCCTGACAGAGATTGTTTTAAATACTTATGGCCCCTGTTAACAAACATAAGCACTGCGATCTATTCTCAGGGAGGGTCAGGGAGGCAATCTTAGGATCAAAAGCAGTACCGGCCATTCGTGAGCCGTTGATAAGAGGCAGACAGTCGTGCCTGACTCCTTCCGGGCTCCTAAAACAGGTGTACCACTCCCTGTTTCATTTCACAAAGATGCCATTTTTTCCCCTTTACGGTTGATGTGCTTTGTGTCGCAGAGCAGACAGAAAGCAGACCGCAAAGCAAGGGATTTTTGCTACTGCGCTGAGCCGTTTGCTGTGTTGGGAGGTTGTTTCTTGTCCCTAAGACTGCCTCTAAATCACATTTGTTCTGGCTCTGCGCTGAATTCTGGGTACAGGGAAAGGAGGCAGCAGCTGTCTTATGGAGCAAGAGCAAGGTGGTGTTACTAAAGCCAGTCCAGATGGAAAATGAGGCATAAACATAGGAAAAGTGCCCACATTGGCTACGCATACTGTTGAGAACAAGAGATTTCAAAAACTTGTATAAAAAAGATGATGTGTGTAATTTCGCTCCTATCATTTCACAGGTTGATTCCCCTGGAAAGTTTCAACTCTGTGACTCGTGGTGCTTTCTAAACGTTGTTTGTTTGAGAATCCTGACCAGCCTAACATGGAAACAGTTCAACCAATGGGGTGTGGCTATTTGTCTGTTCGACCAGTGAAAGCCAGGGGGGAGTATTTTGTAAAACCATCTCCTCGAAAAAAGGCCTCTATTGTTTGAAGAGATCTAACAATGTTTCATAGTGTGCCTCAGAGATACAATCAGACTTTTCTTGTGAAATTTTCTCATCAAATTTGCCCAGTAGGCAAGTTATCTGAGCTATGCTAGCAAACATTTTATAGCTCTAAAACAAATCTAAAACAAATGTTGTTTGTTGTGTTCATTATTTTCCTCCAAGGCATGCATTTCATCACCTCATTTTCTCTTTGGCCCTCTACCCTCTCACATGACACTGGGCAACCTGAGGTTGTAAAGCGTTCCGGCTAATGAGAAAGATTAAATTGTGTGTATCTTTCGGCATGTGTGTGTCAGGGCCAGGGGTCTCCGCCGCTAAAGCGCTTCACCTTGGCCCGTGTGTTGGAAGGACAGGCTGATTGAAAAGCTCTCTCTCTCTGTGACATCTGCTGTCCTCCCTGCTGTTCTGTCACTGGCTTGATTCATGTCCTCCTCGTTCTCTCGCTCTCCGTCTCTCTCTTAGAAAGCCTAGGCACTTCACCACTCAGCGTGAGCTTATCTATGAGGGGAGGAGAGAGTGATGAAGTGGGGAAGAAAAGGAAGAGACTGTTAGAAAGTGAGTAGATGAAGAGGAGGAGGCAGGAGGCAGAAGGCGGATAGGATGAAAAAGGGAAAGATTTAAAAGCAAAACATTCCAGGATGTACAAGTTATAGTTGGATAAATGAGAGAGAAGGGAGTGAGGAGTGAGAAAAAATCAATTAGGAATTAACAAAGAAGTAGCAAATCTCCTCCCTTGTCAAAGTAGAGCACAGAAGACATTAGAAATCTCAAAATTCCCCCTCTGACAATGATGAAGCTTCTAAAGAGAATTTGGCAACGGCCTCTCCAGCTTTCACACAGAGAACAGGTTTCCCGATATGGAAGTTTCTGTTCTCTGCTGTGAGCCGTCACAGCTGAGAAAATCCTGTTGCTCATTTCCTTTTGTTCCAGCTCAGATGTTCTTAAGTGGATCTTTACAAGATGCATGATTAAAGAACAATTTGTTTATCTCAACACTGGATTATGATTTAAAGATATGACTCGGTGAGATGATAATAAAGCTAGTAAGGAAATCTGTTGTCATAGGAAAGTTGTTGTTGAAGTTGTCATTAAGTTAATATCCATAGGCCATCTATGTGCTGATGTAGACCTACAAATTT